GCCATGCCCACCACTGACCTCCTGCCAGTATCAGAGCACCCTCTGTGCTTGGGGCAGCACAAGGACAATGGACCCAGCTCGAAGCTGTCCGAGTTCCATTGTGCTGGAGGTATTCTCAAGAGGCTGAATGGGTGCTCTGCCATCCGTCTGGGCTGGCAACCTGAAAAAGGTGTTGAGAGACCACAGCAAATATGGATCAATGTGTTTGGATGGCAAGAAAGGACAGACAAAACTTGAGATAAGCTATAATTGAATTCTAGATAAAACACACAACAAATCAGATCATTTAGTTTGAGGGTTTTTTAATATTATAAATCTCAAAGAATAAGTAGTAACTTATGCTTGGCACTTGTTTACCTTTGTGGAAGTTTGCCATTGCCCATTGCTCACAAGCATGTCTACAAGAACATGAGAAGGCCATGTTAAGTGTATTATGTATTTCAAATAGCAACCCGAGTCAGTGAAGTAAGAGTCACCATTCCCAAAACACACTTAACTTACTGTACAGAATTAAGAAAAACACTTGTACTGGTTTAGGGACTGTCACTGAAGGTTGTTAAAAGGGGAGATTTCTATATTTAAGTATTTTGTCACTGTTCCACTACCTCCATGTAATGAATTGAACTGTCTCTCATTTGGATCTGACCTGCAGTAATACATCCTAGCTTTCTAGATTGGTAAAGCAAAGTAAGACTGAACATTTTTTTCACCTCATTGGAAAGTAAGTACAATCAAAGCTTCCAAGCTATTACAATAGCTTTTAATTTAAGCTAATGATTTAAGTCTCAATAACCAAAGTTAAGTTGGACCATCTTAAACCAGCTTTAAAACTTGGCAATCCAATGATTTGTTTCAAACATCTGTTTGAAAAGTAAGGTAATATACAACATAAAACAGGTTATTTAAATGCTCTGTTTTGTTTAGACATCTTTAAAGAATTGCTTTACAGAGTTTCTGTATTCCATTGGTGGAGAATTGGGAAACATTTATTTTTATAAAAGAATATGAACTGCTCTGTTTTCCCTCTCACCTCGTATTGTTATCTCAGGCAATGAGGTGAATTACCTTCTTGAAAGAGGACAAAACTGAAGGGAAGTCAACTAAAGAGGAATGAAGTATTAGGAACCTATGTCTCTAAGGGTAATTACTGCACATCTCTAACAGGTACACAAGTTTGCAGAAGCACTACACCCTGGGGAAAGGGCATATATGGGTTCTGACCTTCTAAGGATGTTAAAATGTGGTTAATTGACTAGTTGATGGAATTTCCATCCATTAGTGGACAGGCACTTCCACATTCCTCCTTTGAAATGTACAAGAGCTCCAGCAGGGGCTCTTGTACATTTCAAAGGAGGAATGTGGAAGTGCCTGTCCACTAATGGATGGAAATTCCATCAACTAGTCAATTAACCACATTTTAACATCCTTAGAAGGTCAGAACCCATATATGCCCTTTCCCCAGGGTGTAGTGCTTCTGCAAACTTGTGTACCTGTTAGAGATGTGCACAATCCCCCACTGACTCTGGGCTCCATGCTATGGGCTCCCCTGCCCCTTTGAACTGCGCGCCCCCAGCGCCGAGCCCAGCTAAGGAGAAACAAGCTGGGGTGGGTTTACGAAGACAAAGTTGGCAGCAGGATGGGGCTACAGGAAAGCAGCCTCTGGGAGAAGGGAGGAGTGTTTGAGTACTAGAACGCCATTGCTGGGAGGAAGGAGATTTGGGGCTGGCAAACCCAGAGAAGCAGTGGCACCAGAAGGTTAGGAAAGGATCAGGGAAGACAGTCCAGTCCAGAATGGAACAGAGCTTTGCTGATGTTCAGAGGACCCCTTAGCTGGAACTTGGAGTAGAGTGTGGGCTCTGGTTGCTCGGTCCACCACTGGGGCAGTGGCACTGGCAGGGCAGGGAATGGGAAGACTGTACCTGTTCACAAGAAGAGACTCTGATAACCCAGAAGGGGAGGACACATTTGACTTGATCATAGAGCTGAGCCTCAAACACAAAGCCTCTTGCCTTGATGAGAGAAGGTAGGGTGTGTGGTGAGACCAAATGGAGCCATTGGACCTGGAATCAGCTACACCCCAGAGTAACCCAGAGGCGGCACACTAATGGTATGCAGACCCTGTGACACTACAGCAGGAGCGGGGAACCTTTTTAGGGTCAAGGGCCACTGACCCACAAGGGGGGAGGGGGAATCAATCAGGGGCCACACACAAGTGAGAAATAAAAGGAAAAAAAACCCAAACCCTCACTGACGTGGCCCCAACCACGGAGCAGAAAGACACTCTCCACATTCCCCTTGCACACCAGAGCCTAGGGGGGCCCAGGCTAGTAGATTTTGTGTGCTCCAGACCCTGGGGGTTTTGCGGAGGGGCTGGAGTGCCAGCATGAGCTCTCCAATGCTAAGGTGGGGAGCCCTGAGCCCAGGGACTGGAGCCAGGCAAGCCAGAAGCCACATCCAGCCCCTGGGCCTTGGGTTCCCCACCCCTTCACTATAGGTTTGTGGCTTTAATTAGGAAGGAAAACTGTGCTGGGTGTACGTGGCTTAAATTAGCTTAGAACAGGAGAGAAATGGTATCCATGGAATGTCTTTTACTTACAAAATATGGCAGACAAGTGATTTATCATTAAGGGATGAGTGTCCAGTCCCATGAACTCAACAACTGGAAGATCTGCCAAGGCACCTGCAGGTAATTTGTCCCTTGAGCTGCACAAGAGAGCCTAAATGTTTAGTGCTTCCAGTCTCACGTTCCATGACCAAAAAACACACAAGCTTTTAATGTACATTTTCTTTAGAGCTGAATTCTCCTCGCCTACAGACAACCCCCTAACCGCAAACAAATTCTTTCCAGTAACCACGCAGCATACCTCCATCATACACATCCAGGAATCCACCCCTGCAATTAACCCCAGTGCCAACTCTGTCCACATATCTACACAAGTGATTTCATCACTGGACCCGACTGCACCAGCCACTACATCAGGGGTTCATTTAACAGCAATCCACTAATGTGATCTATGCCATCAAATACCAGCAATGCCCCTCTGCCATGTATATTGGCCAAACTGGACAGTCTCTACAGGAAAGAATCAATGGACACAAATCAGATATCTGAAAAGGCAACACACAGAAACCTGTTGGAGAACACTTGAACCTGCCCGAGCACTCATTAATGGATCTCAAAGTCACCGCGATGTTTCAGGCCAATTAAACAAGCCAAATACAGAGGGAAGTTGGAACTTAACTTCATTTACAGGTTTGGGACTCATCACAAAGATCTGAATAAAGACATTACCTGGCTAGCACATTACCTTCCACATCCAAATGACAACCAACCAAACAATGGGTACTTACGAACAATTTGCACATTCTCTATAAGCTTTATGTAACATGAACACTCTAATTCTCTATTTTTTCCCTTCTATTCCCCCCACCACCACCACCACCACTCATCCCCTATTTATTTTGGAACTGGACTTTTAATACTCCATTCATCTGAAAAGTGGGTACCCAAGAAAGCTCACGATACCATCTACAGGTTTTGTTAGTCTTTAAGGTGCTGCTAGACTTTTTTTTTTTTGGGTAGGGTTTTTTTTTTTAGTTTTTCCCAATTACAGACTAACTTGGCTACCCCTCTGAAGCTTTCTTTATAATTAATTTGCTTACAAGCTTTAACGCTACACTGGAATTTTCCCTTAAATGTGAACTAAACCTAAAGAAGGAAATGCAGAAATGTGTGCTGAATGTACCCACTAAAAAGGCTTCTATAGATATTGGAGAACATGGTGTCACAACACACATTTTTTAAATTTCACTGAATTTGGGGAAAAAAATCTCATTCTTCTTGGTTTCCTAGAGATGCCATAGCTTCAATGTCAGAGCTCATGTAATAGCTAACATCTGGCACCTATGATCGTCCTATGTGCACTCTGGCCAACTTGTATCTTTAGGACACACAATTTTCTGGGTTATTCATCTAATATTTGATTAACACCACAATACTTCTGCTGTTGCTATGAGCCTATGACAGCATTTTTAAATAATAATGTAATTATGTACAGTGTCCACATCACTGATGTACTTCAGTATATTTTATACTATGCACATACCACACCAAAACTAAACATGAGAATGGGGAGTGCCTCCTCTGTGCCTCTCCACAGAAACTGTCTCAGCTTCCATGAAAGGACCCAAGATGGTGGGCAACAGGAAGCAGGTTCCACAGCATGTCTTACCACTGAAAATGCCCTACTCCCAATTCCCTTAAGCTTTACTTCAAGATGAATTAGTTGAAGTGTGTCTATACAGTATTCTTATTTCCTTGGTATTTCATTTTAAAAGAAAAAAGTATGCACATATGATTAGAATGTACAATCAGTACAATCAAAAATGATTCAGCAGTGATGCATCAAGAAACATCCTGCATCCACTTGTCCCAGTGTTTTCCATATGTAGTGTTACCAGGACCACTTGACACACAGGGCCTTGGTAAAAGAGCTATCACCTAAAGGGTTCTACATCAACCACATGAATGATCAGCATCACCTCAGTGTGTTATTAAGGAAGATGATATATGAATCCTGCTATAGAACTATTTGAGTTATTCATCTTGGAGGTGTGGGAGAGAAGTCAGCATGCCCACATAGGACTGGAAAGAGACTGTGCCCAAGTATTCAAACTAACCAGTTTATGAACTCTTAACATTGTTATTGGAAAAAAAATCCCAGAAGCACAAAGCTGTGAATAAGAACGCGATGAGGAAGCGTTGATATATTAGTAATGCTTGAAGTGGAATAGGTTATTTGTTCAGTACATTTAATACCTTAAACATTTTATAGTATAAATTATGAGTAGGTTTCAAAACAACAAACTAGTTATTAGTTTTACATCAAGAGTAATATTACAATGCTTTCTCTCTCTCTCTACATCACTACAAAGGCTATGTGTTTGAAGGGAAATCCCTTGAATAGAGCTCTTCTTTCTAATTTTTGCCCATTATGTACCTCCAAAGCCAAGGCTGTCTTGTCGTAGGCATTAGGGACTCGCTTCTGGATAACCCGGGCATAAATAGGGCCATTCTGAAGGTTAGGGAGCGGAGTGTTGATGCTGGGTTGGGCATAGGGCCCTGGCTCCGGCCCACCCAGTGGCTGTGGGTGGGAACTATCCTGGTTACCTCCAATCAGAGCAGATACTGAAGCAGAGGAAGGTCTATACTTCTCCACGTAAGGAACAGGTATCATTCCCCTCTTTCCATCGCTGTCTTCTGCATTCCACCATTGCTCTTCAGGCTTATCCCGGATTCTCAGTATGTCTCCTTTCTTAAATGGAAGATCTTCCTCATCATTTCCATTAAAGTCAAAGAGAGCTCGCACATATTCAGCCTCTTCCTGCCTCAGTATAACTCCACTATTCTGTCTGGATTTGGAAACAGGTTCTATCAAAGTTGTAGTGTCCAAATAGTGTATTTTGTAGAATTCCAATAAAGACGGTAATGAATCAAATTCTTGGTCACCTATTCGAAATCTGCAGGGATTCAACCCTAAAAGAAAAAAGGCCACATATTATTAGAGAGAATTTAACAAAAATGTGAAAAGCTGAATTTTAATCTCTATGAAAATTACTAAAGTTTATAGATAAATAATTTGAAGAATTAGACGCTTTAGGGTAGGGATGTTAAATATTGGTTAATTGAAAAGTTGAGTAACCTCATTAATTCTTATTGGTTAGTTGACTATTCTATAGTGCCTACGGGTGGGGCTGGCAGCCAATGCACTCTGGCTTCACTCCTGGGGGAATCCCCTGCCACTCTGTGGGGAGTGCCAGGCGGGAGCAGATCTGCCAGGCGGGAGCAGATCTGCAAGAAGAGCCAGTTTAAAAACCAGCTCCCGTTGTGGACCGGCTGCTTGTCGCCCTATGCTGGTGCCTCTGATAAAGGAAGCAGAGCAGGGTGGCAGCAGCCCCTGTCCAGGGAGGGAAATGCGTGTAGTCTATAGCGCAAGCTTTTGCTTATCAGATAATCGGTTAATCGACTAAACTGTTACATCCCTACTTGAGGGTAGGGTTTTCCATTTTATTTAACCTTTGTGCAATGCCCTTTTCACGTATTACTACCTTTAATAATCAAAATCCCCTCCACTTGTTCATAGTTAATGATTTGTACAGATGCATACATGGAAGAAAACTGAAGGTTGTTTTGTTAGAATAATGAAATGTATAGTATCCTGTACCTTCCAGAATGAGAAGGTAAAGTGTGTGAATCTTATCAGATGGAATAGGATATTATTTTTAAAAGTGACGTTTGTCAAACTAGGAAGGCGAGGTTAGGCAGATTAGAACAAAATTATAGTAGTAGGCCAGTACTGCTATAGTGAAGGTTAAGACCAGCTTTCTGTTCAAAGATCAACTCTGAAAGTTTGATTCCTGTGAAATTTAATAACTACTTAACACCTTTTTATACACCTAAATACTTGCATCACCTAAATCGATATTTTCTCTTATCCATCATTAAATCCACAGACTGCTTTCATGTTCCATCTCACTACTGACCACACCCATGGGAAGACAATGCCAGTACTCTACTACTAACATACCCTACAAAGCTGTTTATTGAAATGAGGCTGACTGGAACCTCAAGTTACACATTCATCTCTACCCTTTCACCCTACATATGGGGGCTCATAGTGAAACACCCTCCTATCACAATCACACTTCCGCATTCCTCAAACAAATCTACAGATCTCCTCATGTCACAAACACATCTCTACCAATCAGTCCTACCTATTGCTTCCACTATTCAGTACATCTACACCTATACTGAAAGCAACTGGCCTGAATATAGACAGTTTGCCAAAGACTTGTTCCAGCTCTGGGGGGGAGCAGAGTTAAGGATGCATAAGTGTTTACTTATCCAAGTCATTTGGATTTCCCTGTTTTCACAAGTTTTAGTTTTTCTGAACTTGATGTTCTGGAAGAGCACAAGCTATCACTGGACAACCTTAACTCTGTTAGTAAAAATCCTCATTAAGTACCTGATTTTTCACTTCAAGGTTTATTCTGGAGGACGTGAAGGAGTTTTGTTTCTTACTTGTGTGTGTCTCCAACCTACCACATCTATAAACTCAGCCATATCCAGCTTTTCACTTAGAACTGTACAGAATTTTCATTTCCAATGTATACCACATCTGAGTATTTGATATAGAATGACGTTTAGGTACAAGCCCAAGATAAAGAATGAACCATGCAGCTTTTTCAGCCCTCTGCTCTTCATAGCAACACTGTCCTGAATGTTGCATCAAGATTGCTTTTACAGTTATGTTCAGTTACGGATAGTACTAATAGTTGTCAAAAAAACACTAACATGGTGTTTGAAAACAGATATTAATTGATCTGGAGCATGTGCGACACTTCCAGGCAAGGACCGAGCGTTAGGCAGTCAGGCAAAACGCCCCGCGAATGTCAGGGTACTGACTTGGGAACCGTTATGACACCAATACAGCCTACTGACCCGACCCCTACCTTTCCGCTAATCGCGCTCCGAGAGCATGTTTCCACATCTTAGCCAAAAGGCCGAGAAGCGACTACACTTGATCTTAGCCCTTAAAAGGCCACAAAGAGTTGTTAGCTTGGCTTTGGAGCTGACATAAATGAGGCTGTTCTCACTTTTTAAGTGCATTTTTTCAGGAAAGTCATAAACACCTATTTTATCCAACTCAACATAGCAATACATATGCAATAATTGCATTAACCTTTTACTTCTAATTTCTTATAATTCACTTTCTTCATATTTGTCAATTGGAGGGTGAGTGATAAACTAGAATATTATATGCATCCAGATATTAAATTAAATAAATCACATCTTATAATAATTACACATTATGAATGGTATACAACTGATTAATTGCCAATCTTGGTTTGAGTTGTCCAACCGTCCATTTCTTTTTTTCCCCCTAGGTTTTAAGTTCTTCATTTTATGTGGAAAACAGTAAGTCTTATATTCCATATATTGTATAACCAGTTGTGGGAGGAATGAAGACAAAGAAATTCACACTTCAACAAGTAATGAGGAATGGTAAGATACAGTCATACTTCAAGCTTTTACACTAGTCCATTTTCGCTCTATCAAGCAAGGATGCTTACTTATTGTGTTTCTCCAGAGAGGATCTCTACCAACTCTGACCCCTGGGCCTTAGCTCAAGACTAAATGAATTCTCCCTAGCTCTTAAGACTTATTTTATCAAGGGCAGCATTACCAGGGTGGATTATTGGTTCAGGCTGACTCCTGAATGTTCCAACTAGTTCCTTCAACTGAGCAGGAGATAGTCAGAGAAAAAGCATGTAAAAAAAAGAACCTCTGGGAATTCTGGGATGAAGCGGCTATAAGAGAATTCACCTAGACAAGATCTTGAGAGAAGCAGAATTATAAAGGTCAGTCAGTCCAGGATTCACATTCCAGCAGACTAAGGCCAGGTCTACACTAGACCCAGCAGCTCAGCTCAAGATACAAAATGCAGCTTCCCTTACGCCGAGCTTGGTGGCAGCCCTGCAGTGGGAGGCCGATGGGCACAAACACTCCCATCAGCTTCCCTTACTCCTCACAAAAGCAGGAGTACTGGATGGGGATGTGAAAGAGTAGCTGACTAGATGATTAACCAATAAGCCTAGCCTTATCAGTTAATCTAGTCAACTACTCCCCCCAGCACTGGCCCCTGCTTTCCCCCTCCCCCCTCACAGAGGCAGCAAGTGGGGGGAAGGGAAAGCAGAAGCCAGTGCAGGGGGGAAATGTGGGGGGGTGGCGGGGGCTTAAGCCAGTTCCCCCAGCACCAGATTTGTGGTGCTGCCTGCCCTACCCCCCCTCACTTCAGGCAGAGGCTACTTCATGGTGGGGGATCCGAGGTCAGACACTATCCCCCCCCGGACAGGGGCTGCTGTCACCCAGTGTTGCTGCCTCTGTATCAGAGGAAGCAATATGGGGCAGCAGGCCAAGGCCGGCTTTAGGCCGATTCAACCGATTCCCCTGAATCGGGCGCCACGCCTATGAGGGCCCCATGCTTGTTGCTCCCCTCCCACAGCTCTGTGGCGTGCCAGGCACGCTGCAGGAGGGGGCGATGGCCCGGAGGAGGAGTGCGGCAGCTTCCCTGGCTTTAAAGGGGCTGTGACTTTTTGTGTGCAGTGTTTTTTGTTCAACAAAAAATCCTGGCTGCCAGGGCCCTGTTGAAACTGTTCGACTTGGGCCCTGCACTTCCTAAAGCCGGCCCTGCAGCAGGCAGCCAGTCTGGTTTTTAAACTCGTTCCCCTCATGGATCAGCTCCTGCCTGGCACCCTACACTGCTCCCTCTGCCTGCAAGTGGCAGGGGGCTCCTTGGGAGTGGGGCTGGATTGCACTAGCTGCAGCCCTACCCTCAGGGACTACAGAATAGTCAACTAATTGCTAAGAATTCACAAAGTTAGTAGACTATTCAATTACCCACTAGCTAACATCCCTAGTATTGGATGCCTGAGGGGCATCCTCTGAGTTTGATTAGCAAGTCTTCATATATTTGTATCACCTTTTGAATTATGAGTTAGATATGTACGGTGTTTGGCTTTAAAATGTGTGCTATGCTTCTAGGTGACAACATTTTGGCATCAGCACTGCCTAGCCTGCTTGAGATTCCTTGATAGACTATCCCCTGTATAATGAACCCACTGAAAGGGTCAGAATTTACACTTTGTGACCCAGCAAGGCATACAGAGGCATGCCGACAGCAAGATAGCTAAGGCTTCCAGGCCACGTGCTGGGCAGCTTGTGTTTGGAACAGAGGAAATACAGTCTGCGTAGCAAAGGGCAGTTGCATCTTCTCCATTTTGTCTTCAGTCCTGCTTTTTACCTCTGGAGCAACTTTTCTACAAAGTTCCACAAGATCCAGCCAAGCTGAGGATGCGTACCAGAGGGACTTTCAAGCCAGCAAACTCACCAGTACTGCTAAGAATGTGATATATGGACACTGAAGTCTTTATATGTAACTGCTTTATCATTTAACAACTCTTATTATAAACCTTTTATTTTAGTTCCTAAAGGAGGGCTGGCAGCATGGTATTTTGGGGAAGATCCAAAACTATATTGACCTGGTAACTTTGCTGGCCTGATGGGATCAGAAGAACAATGTGTGTACATGAGCAAAGTTTTAAATAACTGGGAGCAAGAGAACTGGAATGAAATAGGGGGGGGTGAGTGGCTTCTTTTTTAAACTTCTTCATAATCAGTGTAGGGGATCAAGAGCAGTTTGTGACTTGAATATTACCCATCAGTCTTGGGAGTATCAGCTCTCCCTTTTGAAGCCTGCCCTGCCCTTGGCATTTCCAGCAAGGGCCACACCAAGTACACAGCTATTACAAGAGCTCAATGTGGAGCTATGCAGCTGAGAGAGGCCTTGAAAGAGCACTCTGACAGTCACAGCATTATGGTTTGGTCAATGGTGTTCTACCTGGCTCTGGAGTTTTGGGGGCTATTAGGAACCGTGTAGTACTAATTGTCAAGTGCTAATTATACATTTACAATTACACAGTTTGTCTCACTAATCTTACAAGTAGTGAGTGCTTTCAGCAGTGCTACGTATTCTGCAGGATATATTGTGAAGTAATAAAGATTGTTTACCAAAAAGTAGCTTTTATTCAGAACCAAAGCCAGTGTAAAAAAAAAAAAAAAAAACAGGGTACAATTTCAAAAACTATAATAAAAACTTCTTAAATAAATTGTTCTGTTACTTTAACAAGGAGACAGAACATTCGTGTCTTTTCAATTCATTTTGGCTTCACAAAACACAGTGGCTCTCACTCTTCAGTGTATGTGAAGATAGATGCTCCTTACTGTCCCATGGCCTGGAGTGGTAGGGGATACAGCTGCATCCCCTGAAGCCACATAAGAAAGTTGAGGGATGGGATGTAGAAAGGTGCTAAAATGGAATTCTCCACTGATTGCCAAGGAAGATGAACCCACGATTGAACATGCAAGTCAATAAGAGTCTGCAGCTGTGTCCAATGAAGAAGGCCATTATGCCCTGATATAATTGCTTCTATCTGCTCTTTTCCTCTCTAGACTGTCTGCAACATTCACCCTCCAGGACCTCTTTTCATGATCCAATGCAGCACTGGCTTGCAGAATCTCTTTGCACATATCCTCTTCTTTCACCTCCTGTCCAGGAATTCCAGGGGTGCATAGGGAGGACCTCTCAACACCACAGCAGCAGCTATAGACAAAACATACAGCAACATCTTAGGTACAGCACAAAGAAAAGTGAAAGTTTAGTTTGATAATGCCCTTCCCTGGGCTCCATGTCTCATTTAAAACTTTCGCAATTATTGATACTGCAGCCTGAATGCACCCGTGCACAGTATTGCCAGCCAAACCCAGCCACGGTGAGTATGGCAGAGCAGAGGCACTAGAAGGGTTGCATAAAAACAACAACTTTTCAGCTTATGTTCCCTTATGCCAAGGGAAAAGGCATTGAGCACTGGTACTGTTTTCTACAGACAGTGGTGATGTTAGTTGGTATCTCATTCCTGAGGGTAACAAAGGCAAAAACAGCACAGCTGCAATTGGCATCCTGGAGTCACCTAGCCCGACATACACTAGCCTGTTCAGCAACTACCATTGCAGTAAAGTCATCAGGACTGGCATGGGAAAATATTTACTACAGAGGAATGGCTGACATCCACAGAAACCTTCAGGAGAGGACTGCTGAGTACCCTCACACAAGTTTGTGAAAGCTCTCTGGAGAATTTCAGGAGTGTCTGTGTACATAAACTGCTCTGCATGCCACTCCTGTTAAATCCATAGGGGAAGAAATAGCAGACAACAGCTTTACCTTTTTTTGGACAGTTACCACTTCTGGTATGAATAAATTAATACCACTTCTGGTATGAATAAATTAAATTAATTACTTGGTATGACAGCACCACATTCTTCTTAGTGATATAGAACTATGACAATCTTAATATTGATTATATGACATCATATTCATACAGGATATGATCTTTGACTTAACCTTAGGCTTAAATTGAAGCAAGGGAGGTTTAGGTTGGATACTAGGAAAGGCTTCCTAACTGTCAAGCACTATAATAAATTGCATAGGGAGGCTGTGGAATATCCACCACTGGAGATTTTTAAAAGCAGATTAAACAAATACTTGTCAGGGACGGTTTAGATAGTGCTTGGTCCTGCCATAAGTACAGGGGACTGGACTTGAAGGAACCTTGAAAGGTCATCCAGTTCTAGTATTCTATAATTATGATTTATTTTACGGAGGATAAGTCATATGAGATGTCACAGAAAAGGTTTGATTTGCTCAGTGTGATTACCTTATTTGTATGCATGTACCATCTTTGCATCTGACTATATTTATTTCAAAAAGTAGAATGCTCACCAGACAAGATGCTTTCATTCTAGATACATGGGTGGGGAAGGGGCTATTGAGAGCAAAGAGGAAAAAATAGCCTTTAGAGGAGAAGCTTCTCTCCCACCCGCTGAGCCTTCCCAAGGACAGTGCAAAAGCCTCCAAGTAATGGCTGCTGTGACTCTACAAAGAGATGTGATGTGACCACACGTCTCTAGACTCCATTGTGAAATGTCAGTACTTTTCCACAGCCCCATCTGGGAACTGAGCTTTGAAACAAATGGTTCCAGCCAGATGCAAAAGAGTTACAAGGCAAGGGAATGTCGTCATCTGGGTGTTGTTTGCTCCCCACCCAAGAATACTTCTGAACACACCTGAGGAACAAAGACTGAACTAGGAAAGTGCTAGACCCAAGCTAAACGTATTTCTAGCCTGTGACTGGAATACCTGGATTCCAAGCTATAACTAGTGCAGCTTGCCACTTCTGAACCCACAGTCTGCTTGAACCAGCATTGAGAGGGAGATTTTGCTATTCAATAATATAATAAATAGATTGGATAAGTTTAGTTTGCATTTGTTTATTTGCTAGGTAATCTACTTTGGTCTGTTTGCGATCACTTAAAATATATCTACTCTAGTTACTAAACGTTTTAATTTAAATGAGTTTGGGGGGCATCATAACACAGGAGCAAAAAGTGGTTGCATATGCCTCTCCACATTGGTGGGGGAAGCGAATGTTATGAGCTCATGCTACACAGCTCCCTGTACAGTGCAAGACAGTATACTTGTGTTTATACTCGAGAGGTTACGGGTTCTGTTATGTTGGAATGGGGCACCATTTGTGGATTTAAACATTGCGATGAGAAATGCATTCACACACTTACCGGAGGTTCCTTCCCAGCATCACACTTGCTTCTGCTCAGCTGCTGAGATTGACTAGACTGCAGTGGACTCTCAGACAGATCCCTCATATGTGGCATCGCTGGACCCTCACATGTCCCCCATCCTCCTGGCTGTTCACAGAACTCTGTCTCTCTGGTGCCACTGAGGTATCTACAGTTCTCTGCAGCGTGCTGGTGTGGTCTCCACCAATTCTGACATAGAGCTCACTGTAAACCCAGCAGGTCTGTGCCTTGGTATCAGATGGACCGTTGGCCTCCCTGGCCTTCTGATGTGCCTGCCAGAGTTCCTTGGTTTTCACACGGCATTGTTGTTGTACCACTTCTCCTACATCCCCTGTGCAATTTTCTCATAGACGTTCATGTTTCTACATCTGTTCCGTAGCTGCGTCCACAGAACTGCTGCTCCTCACAGGCCCAAAAGATCCAAAACCCCTGTCTACTTCAGGCAGGAATACATTTGGTGCATGCAGCTAGCATGGTCAGCTGTACACAATAAGGCAGGGCTGCAAGATGTGTTCGCCAAGTTGGGCAATCAGGAAAATGCATTTCAAAAATATGCAGAGTGGGTTCCATTCTCTATGTCCCCTGGACAGTAAAGTTCACATCAGTGACCAGAGGGGGTCAATGTCAAGCACTGTGGGGCACCCTCTCCCCCATTCCTTTATTCCATCAGCATTTGAGAAGATTGGTGTACAAAATTTTTTTTTGGTAAAATCTGCGTATTTAAAGACATTTGTTTGTTTTCAAGGGGAGAGCCTCTGTTTAAGGAACATTTCGTTCAAGTGACTCCAAATTTGGATCACTAACCCTACCCTGCACTCCATAAGGCACAGCAAATTTCAAGACAGGTCAGCTTACATGCAGATTTTGGAACATTTAGAAATAACTGTTCTTTAAGCAGAAACTCACAACATGCTAGCCACTAGCCATGTATAGCTATTTGGCCAGTTGAGTGTAGCTAGTTTACTATAGCAGTAGCTATACAATATATAGTAGCTACTGCTTTTCTATAAGCATGTCCTCACCACAGATCATGTCTCCTGAAGGCATAGCAGCTCAGAGACATACCTGTCAATTTTAGGACCACTGCTAATGAGTCTAAGTAAGTGGGCTGGAAGTGTCCCATTCTTAGCTTTTGATGTAAAAATGCAGTTAAGAGATTGACAGGCAAGTTTCCCCACCCCCCTTTCTTTTGTGCTGTTTATATAAATATAAATAAATATATAGGTGTCTTATTTCCACTCCAGTTCATCTGAAGTGCGTTTTACCCACGAAATCTCATAATGCTATATATTTGTTGGCCTCTAAGGTGCCACAGGACTACTCATTTTTAAATTTACAGACTAACACGTCTACCCCTCTGGAACTTTGTCTTTTTAGGGTGTCTATTAGTTTTAATTGTAGGTTTAAGTTAAAGTAAACCAAGTCAGAAGAAGATAAAGCTAGCTTGAATAAATTCAGCACCTCCAGCTCAAAAATTGAGGAACTGGACCTGAACTGCCTTGGCATGCCAGAGGCGAAGTTTGTTCTTTGCCTCTTATCACCAGGTTCTCAAGAAAGGGTGCGAGTATATTAACCAAAACTTTATAGAAATAATACCACATGTATCTTTAGACTAATGCTGAATTTGTAACCCTGGTTTATTTTACCATTTGATTGCTAACTAATGAAAAATTAGTTTAAAATGTTATTAAAATATTAATCTCATTATGAGCATCCTGTCACACACCCCAGAGTCCTTTGCTTATTCAATCCTGATTCTGGGACAAGAACCTTATTTTCTGATCAGATTAACTGGCAAACTTATAGCCTACACTATCCAAATTAATATTGTTAACCTCCTAAATCATGCAACAACGAAGTAGGGCTGTAAAGAGTCTCTGCCCCTATTCTCCCTGCTACTCATCCCCCTATCTCCTTTCTCAGTGTCTCTCCCCCTCACCTTAGCTCCCAATGCCTCTCATCCCTCCCTACCACTCATCCCCTTAATCCTGGTCCCCTCTTGCTAAATCACTTCTGTGCATAGCCCCTCTGTGGGATCTGAGCCCCTCTCCATGCTCCACATGGGAAAGCCAGGATCTGGGCAGGCCACACTGCCACCTAACATTATACTTTCACTTATCCTTCAAGAAATCCATAGGCTACACATTCCCCACCTCATTTCTGACAATTCTCATGACAAGGCTAATCCTGTGCTTCACTTGCTGATAACTGACAATGCAGCATGAAATGAGGTATACGGATTCTCTTTTGCACATCTCTCCTTTGATCACATATACAGAGATCAGGAGTATTTCCCCTCTCCATATTGCCTCGTATTACAATCACAAATCTCCCATACTGGTCCAAGTAACCCCTCCATTATTCAGTACAGCTAGAAGTATCACAGGAAATGTGGCAGAAGTGCATGCAGTGGTTCTTGCCACCTGCAAGGAAGGAGTTACGTTTGTGCAGGCATGTACCTTACCAGTATTTCCTGAAGTTCTTAGTACAGTAAAACTCCATTGGTCCGGCATCTGATGGTCCCGCACTCCCGATGGTCCGGCACCATCAGGAACCCGGAAGTGCTCCAGGCAGCCAGACCATTGGAGCTGCTCTGCCCCCGGCTTCTCCGATTCAGCCACTGCTAAAACTGACCAGTGGCTGAATCTGGGAAGCCGGGGTTAGAACAGCTGGGGTGCGGCCGGATAGGTCCCGTAGCGCTGCCCCTTGGGGCTGTGGGACCAACTCAGCAGCACTCCAGCTGTCCCCGATTCAGCCGCGGCTGACTCCAGGAAGCCAGAGGCAGAGCTGCTCTGCCCTGGCTTCCTGGAATCAGCCCCTGATCAGTTTCAGCAGCAGCTGACTTGGGTACACCTGGGACAGAGCAGCTAGGGTGCTGCAGGGTTGGTCCCCGCAGCACCAAGGTGCAGCAACCAACCCGGCAGCCTCCCAGCTGCTCTGCCCCAGGCGTCCCCAAGAGCAGCTGGGGTGCTGCCAGGTTGGTCCTGCAGCCCCGAGGGGCAGCGCTACGAGACCAACCCAGCA